CCTGTTATGTGCTCCATCTCTATGGAAACGCGGCACATGTTTTCGGACTGCAGAGGAGCTATGGCAACTGCAAACAGTTAGTCACATCCCAGTGATGGATCATTTGTTGAGTTAAGAGTAAACTGCCTCTCGGTAGGGGATCATTGTGGTACCCGGAGAAGTCATACTCTGATCATTTGAATATCAAATCTGACAGTTTCTATTGTGTAGGTCGCCTTTGAGAAAGAAAGTTGGTGTGAAATTAAGGTCCTGTTCATTTGTTTCAAGATCATGTTCGGTTAGACGGATAGACGGGCTAATCTGGAGCTAAGGAAGTTGGGTCTGTCTGGCTCTCCCATGGCTTTGGTTAAGCTGGGGGTCTCTCCGTCCCCTTTGGGCTGAGCTGAGAGAGTTGTGAGTAATTTGGATAATCCGGGGCCCTTATAAGCTTTAAGTGCTGTTGGAGCGCCTCGCTCTGTTTACAAGCTGGTTGCATTAGCTTGACTGTTCTGAGAGCTGATTGTGATTCTAAATTAATACGTTTAGCACTGCTTTGCAATTTTTCATGGGCGAAATCCAGGTGTTTTAAAAGGGAATCCACATGATTGGAAAAGATTTCCTCGTTCATACTTCACAACAGGTTCACCAACTTTCTGTTGACCAACAGAAAGCTGCTTGGTTGAAACAGTGTTATTGTTTATTGAAACTTAAATTATAAAAAAAAAAAAAAAAAAACTTCAAATAAAATACTAAAATAAAAGAAAAAATAAATATTGAAAGAAAAATTAACATGTTAGTCAGTCAACGTTTTCATTTAAGTTTAAGTTAGATTTAACTACTTAAATTCTTAAACTGCAATAAAACAAATGAAAGCTAAATAGAACATGATAAAAATGGCAATCACATAAAAATATTGAAACTTGCATTAAAATGCCAACTGAAAAATAAATAAAAATAAAAGCTAATTGAAAATATTTTTAAGTACTATGTTAGTATATTAACACTAAATGACACTGGTTTGAAAGTGACTTTTTTTGTAAGCTTTATACATCACTACCCTGTTGATAGCAATACCATTTTACCACAAGCAGGCTTAAATGGGGTTATGAGGTTTTTGACCAGTGAATGTCGGAGATACGCATTTTGTCCATCATTAGAACGGCAATAAGTACATCACATTATGTTTTCATCAGCTTTTACAGGTTACATAGTTTATTGTAGCTATGGGTTTTTCCTGTTGTTTAATACATTTGACTTTTTTTCTTGAGTAGAACAATAAAGAAGAATTTTAGCTGAAACCGTGGACTTTGGTGATACATAAAATGCAAGTCAATGGCTGCCGGCACTTGAGAGCCCCAAAAAAAAAAAATATGAGAAAAATTAATATACAGGCAACACAAAATTAATACCCTTGGCTCCTGACATTATACTGAGGTCCTTTGAAGCAAAATGATCGGTCTGTGTGTATTATCACTTTAAGACCATATTGTCTATGACTACCTAGTTAATGCTAGACTTAGACACTCTTCTCCATTCTTCAAATACATGAAACATTAGCCTTTATAGACATATATTGTTTTTGAGTAAAGAAAATGCTGTAATTATTTAAACAACTGGTTCATACAAGACACAAGCACTTTTTAATATTTTTATTTGGTTAAATATTTATAAAACCAGCAGACAGACATAAAGAGTGACCAATAGCACTGATTTAGGAAAAAATAATAAAAAATAAAAATGCCAAAATATGGAGATACAAGATTTCTGCTTGACTGTATGCTCGTCAGTGTGTATTTTTAATTTTTTCCCCCTTGTATGATGTGATCCATTTGTAAGTTGTGACCAACCAGAATTACTTGTTACTGACTTGTACAGGTCAAAATAATTTTCAACCTGCTAGTACACTGCACTCTGCAAGTCTGCATCCAGTCTTTCATAATTTGCTGATCACACCATCTGTGGTATTTGTTTGTATTTTTCTCAATACCTGTTTAACCAGAATTTCCAATTCCACAGCAAATTTGAGCTTGGAATCAAAACATCCAGCAAACAACAGCATTAGACTTGTGTTAACCCCTCTTAGTGCTAGACGTGCAGGAAAAGCTTCTATTTAGGTTACTGACCTGACGTGTAATTAGCTGGCTGTATTGGGAAATTTCTCGGCGCACGTGGAGCGTAAGCAAACTTTAGTGGCGGTGTTGTTGGTGGTGGCGGTAGGGGGTGTGGGTGAAATTGCAAACAGGAAGTGTTTGGCTAAATAAAGTCCTGCAGAAGCTGAAGCGTTTGGAGTACGATGTAAATAGCTGCTCTGCTGCCATGTGGACCTTAACCGCTGGCCGCCTGTGGGAGGAGCCGTTTTGTTGATTTGAGAGCCAGGCTGGACATCTGTCTGTTTTTCTAGGCATATTCATTAAAGGGGTAGTTCACCCAAAAATGAAAATTCTGTCATTAATTACTCACCCTCATGTCCTTCCAAAATTCTAACTCCTGTCATCATTTGCTCACCCTCGTGTCATTTAATGGTCTGTGATGCATAAAAGGAGATATTTTGAAGAATGATTCAACTGTTCATACCATGCAAGTCAAAAAAATAAATAAATTAAATAAATAAAAAATCCCCAAAATATCTTCTTTTGTGTTCATCAGATGAATGTCATACAGGTTTAAAACGTGAGGTGAGTGAATAAAGGATTTTTAACATTTACAATGAAATGAAGTTTAAAGAAATGTATATGAATGCTGTAAATGTTTTTAAGTACTATTGTTAATTCATTTTTAATCGTAAATTTGAATTAAAATAAAAAATTAAAGACATAATATGGGGTATTTCCAGAAATTATATTAAATGTATAA